CTGCAGAGCCTGATGTGGGGCTTGAACTCATAAACCATGAGATCATGACCTGAGCTGAAACCAAGAGTTGGACACTTAACTGAGCCACCCAGACGCCCCTTACTAATACATATTTTATAACTCACAGAATTCAATATTACAAATTTTGCTTTAAACCACTAGCTGTCTTTTAAATAAAAGAATAAGAACTAGAGCTTTTTTTATTTACACATATTTCTGCTATCTTCATTCCTTTCTGTATATCTGAGTTTTCATCTGGTTTATTTCCCTTCAGCCTAAAAATATTCCTTTAGTATGAATTTTGAATCTACAATTTTTTTTTCTTTAATAGTTAAATGTTTTCAAAGTTAAATAACTTTGGAGATATTATTCTATTGTTTTTGGCCTACATTATTTTTGATGAGGAGTCATCTGTCATTTGTATTATTACTTCCCTATAATCTGTAATATACTTCTCTCCTTCTCTGTCTTCCTCCTCCCGCCCCCCCCCCGGCCCCCCTGCAGCAGAGGATGCTTTCAAAAAAAATTTTTTTTTTCAATCTATTGTTTTTAAGCATTTGACTTAGATGGGTCTAGATGTGGTTTTATTTCTACTTATTTTGTTTAGGTTTCTGAAATTCTTGAATCTATAAGCTGATGTTAACCTAAATTTGGGGAAACTTCAGCCATTTTTTCAAATAAGTTTTCTGCCCCAGTCCTTTCTCTTTATCTCCTGGAACCCCAGTGATATGTAAGGTATCTTGATATTGTCCTATAATTCACTGAGACTTGTCCCCCTACCCTTTTTCCTTTTAATTTTTTGTTTTATTTCTTTGTTGTTATTGTTCTCTATACTAAATAATTTCTATAGCTCTGCTTTTATTGGTTTGTTATTGCTGAAAAACAAATTACTCCAAAATTTAGTGACTTAAAACAGCAATATCATATATCTCCCACAATTTCTATGAATTCAGAATTCTGAGTTATTTGAAATTCTGAATAGTTTTGTGGTTCAGCTCTGGTCTCTTATGAGATTTTAGTCAGATGTTGGCTGGGGTTGTAGTCATTTGAAGGTTTGATTGGGGCTGGGGAATTTATTTCCATGATGGCTGACTGATGTGGTTGATAAGTTGGTTCCTCTCCACATCACCATCTCCATGCAGCTTTTGAGAATCCTTATGCCATGGATGTTGGCTTGCCTCAGAATGAGCAATATAGGAGATCAAGGCAGAATCTGTAATGCTTTCATGACTGTAGAAGTCACACATCTTCACTTCTTCCGTATTCTATTTGTCACAAAGGTCAACCCAATTCATTGTGGTAGGTGAACTCAGAAAGGCATGATTATCAGGAGATGATTAGTGGGGACTATCTTAGAAATTAGATGCCATATTCTGTCTTCAGGTTCACCCATTCTTTCCTCTCCAATCTTAACTCTTCTGTAGGTTCTTTAAGTGATTTTTTTTTTCAAATTTCAGATAGTTTGCCCATTCAGTTCTTCAATTTCCAATGTTTTCTTTTAGATAGTTTCCATTTCTCTGATAGTATTACCCAGATGTACACTTGTGAATATCTTTTTAAAAATTATTTGAACATATTTATAATAGCTATTTTAAATCCTTTGACTATGAATATCAGTCTATCAATCATCTTAGTGTTGGTTTCTGTTGATTGATTTTTTCTTTTGACTGTGGTTCAAATTTTTCTACCACTTCACATATCTAGTATTTTTGTTTTAATTGTATACTGGATTGTCAGTGATTTCCTTGCAGAGATTCTGGATTCTGTTATCTTTCCTAAAGTTTTTTTTTTTCTTTCTTGTAACACACAATTAAACTTGGTGAAACTCATACTCCATACATGTCTCTCCTGTGGTGAGGAAAAGCTAAAATTTTTTCGCAACTTTCAACTTTCCACTTATTGCTTTGTGCTTTCTGCTAAGTTCCTTGGAATTTCCCACACATATGCGTAGTTCAGAGATTAGCTTAATGTTTGAGCTCAGTTTATATGTAGATTTTTGGATTCCTTCACTGTGCTCCCTTCTTTCTGGAATTTCTTCTCAATTTCTAGCCTTTCTGCCAGCCCTGAATTCTGTATTCTGCCACATTAAGCTACTGAGAGTTGTGTTGCCTGTAGAGTCCTCAGGGAAAAGCTAAATAAATGTGTACCTAATTCAGAAAAGTTCCTTTCTTTTGTGGGTTGCATTATTTTCAGTTTTCTGATTTTGGTAGGTCTTTTGCACATTTAAATAACTTTTTATATTTAATCCAGAGATTATAATTGTTATATATAGAGGGTTAGTCATACCAGCTACTCTGCCATACCAGAATGGAACCTTAGCCATGTGTGTATGAGTGAGACAAAAAAATAGGTAATTGGAAGCTTTGGGTCCCTGAGCCTGTTGAATGATAGGCTTCACTGTAAGGTGTTGAGAAAAATCAGGATGTTTTGTTGTGGGGGAGTATCTCAATTGTCAGTATCCTTATGTCCCTCTCTTCTGGGATTGTTTAGTTTTCTCAGTGAGGAATCCTTTAATTTCTTGTGTGGCTGGGAATATGATAGACCTATGCCTATTTGTCAGTATTTTGGGAGTCTGGTGGACCTGGAAATCTCACATTTTATTATGTAGAGTTTCATGAATCCCTCTGTTTGTGGGTGAGCTGTACAGTGTGAGCTCTACCTTGTGATGTAAGACATATTTCATTGTTTATTCAACATTCCCAAAGATTAAATCTCTTCCCCTTTCCAAAGGTTTGGAAAAGAAAGTGTGTTTTTTGGCAGTGAATGGTAGAAGAAGAAATCTAGGGGCCTAAGAACTTCTTATGAAAGTGTTCAACTAATGTCTTATTCTCTGCCCCAACTTTAGAAAGATCTGGTAGTCAATTCCTAAGCATTTCTGGAATTCTGTGGTAAGAATTAGATTTCTTCTTATTGGCTTCTTCCATTACAAATCTGGGTTTTGAGTATACCCAGTCTTCTAAGTCAGTTACTATTTTTCCATCTGTTCTTAGATTCTGAGATTTAGTTGATACTATTTCTCCCTTTCTTTTTATGGACATATGCCTTTGTTCTTTTTCTGGTCATCTTAGATGATATTTAAGATAAATCATATGGTTCAGTCCTTTTCCACATTTTTTAAAATAATACTTATTTTCATCTTATGTTTTTAAATAAACATAAACTCATTCGTTAAACCAGATACCCTCTATTGAAACATCAGTTGATAGTACTTTTACAAAAGTCAGTTTTGAAAAGCATAGGTATCAAATGACTAAACCGGTGTTGAATGTAAATATCAACTCTACAATGTCCTCTGTGCCATGAAATGATGTTTCTCTAGCTATTGTTCCCCAAAATAGCAAGAGTAAAAAGACTTATCATCTCCTGCAATGTAATGTGCTTACTTTGGACTTCTGTTGTAAAAGAATTGCTCACAACAGACAAGTATGTGCATGTAGTGCTGCAACTTTAGAACTTGCCTCAGAGAAGTGTGAATAAAAATGGCCTAGCAACCACTTCATGCTCTTCCTCCACCAGACAGTGCAAGCCAAGGGACACTTACTTCATGAGAACTAGAATTTACTTGCTTTGCGTATGAACTTGATTTTATAACATGAAGATTATGGAGTTCATTCTCTGAAAAATAATGTCACATGAGCATTTTCAGTCTGAAAATGACACTGAATTTGTATGAATGTACATATGCTTACTATTTTTAGTCCATTTGTAAATTGAGCATATTTTCATCTTCATAAAATTACCTGTGAGGAATAGTTTTTATATTTATTTTTTCATTTCCAATCAACTAAGGATCATATTCCTATCACTATTTGGTGATTTTTTTTTTGTAGTTCACTAATATAGCATGAAAGGTTTTAAGAACCAGAAATAAATCAATAAATTATAGGAGAATATGGACTGTGTTTACCGTGTTATCAGGGATGGGAACACATGAGAAGAGTTTAGTGCATGTTGGAGGAAAGTAAAAAATAATAATACTGAAAGTAACACCTGTGAAGGAAAGGTTAAAGAAAGGGCCTCATAGTTATTTAGTCAGAAATAGGTGTGATATAATAACTTTATAAAGATATATTACAGAATATGACTGATTGTTGTTTATCTTTGCTGAAATCTGGAAAGAAAAATTTCAAGGGTAGAAATATAAATGATATACATTTAACCAGTATTTGGAAGACTAGCCTGAAGGCTGGCAGACAGCCAGTGGAATGCCTGTGATGGGGCACATCTCTTGGGAGGAGGAAAGTGCTTTAAATGTAGCAATCTTCTCTGTCATGAATGGGAACAGGTCCTGCCTTAAGGCTTGCAGAGGGCCCTTCCAGACCTGTAATTCTCTGGATCATTTCTGTTCTAGCTTCAGGGTTGGGAGTGAACTAGAGAAGGCAAACACCTGCCCTTTCAGGAGCTCCAGCAGTGCTAAAGGAGGCAGTGCCAGTGGCAGCACCCTAGCATCTCATCCAACTGAAGACTCACTCAAAGGTGAGTCAGGTCACTGTGGACCCAGGTGCTTCCTTATCCTCCAGCTTTCCCTGGGGCCGGGCACAGGAGCCTTGGGAAATCGGCGACCACAGGGCACCCTCCCCAGCCGCCAGTATAAGCTTTGACAGAGGGACGCACAAGGCTGGTGTTAGGTGGGAGGGACTCGCCACCTGGACGCGCTCAGGGAGGGATGAGTGGCGCCAACAACAGTCAGGTCGCTTTCTCACCCTTCTGCTAGGTGGTCCAGAGCCCTGTGCTCCCAGAGAGCGCGGGGCGCCCGCCACTCCTGGAGCGAGCGTCCCACTGCGAGCGGACCTTTCCAGGCTCCCGGCTCCCGCGGGAGGGCGCGTGGGATGATGCTCTGGTCCTCGTGCTTTCCCCAAGCTCCCGCATCCGGAGCCGCCCTTGCCGGCACCGCCGCAGCCACAGCCTGGGAGGGAGAAAGGAAAAAAGGGAGGGGGCTGGAAAGGCTCGGCGGAGGGAGGAGGGGACGTGGGGAGGGAGGGAGAGAAGGGGGAGGGAATCTCTCTCCTTTGCAGTGCCTCCGCCTCTCCTCTCCGGCTGACAGCGACCGGGTTCTCCCTCCACACCCTCTCCCGGTTCCTCGCCCCCTTCTCCACCCACCCTCCTTCCCTCCCTCCCTCTCGAGCGTGCTGGAGGAAAGCCGCAGCCTGCGCGCGGCCCAGGGCGCCGGGGGAGGCGGCGGCAGCGGCGGCGGTGGGTGTGTGCGTGTGTGTGAAGGACGCCACCTCTTGCTCCTGCGTTCGCAGGCGGCGGCGGGCGGCGGGGCTTCTCGCTCCGGCAGCGGCGGCGACAGTGGTGGCGGCTTCCGGAGTCCCGCCGCGAAGATGCTCAAAGTCACGGTGCCCTCGTGCTCCTCCTCGTCCTGCTCTTCGGTCACCGCCAGTGTGGCCCCAGGAGCCGGGAGCCTCCTCCCGGATTACTGGATCGAAGGTTCCAACAGGGATGCGTTGAGCGATTTCTTCGAGGTGGAGTCGGAGCTGGGACGGTAAGGCGGGGGGCGCCCTGGACGTGGTGGAGCCGCGCGTCCTGCGCGCGAGCTCGGGCTTCTGGGGAAGCCCGCGGCGCGCTCCGGGGGCTGTCCCTTTCTTTCGGAGGGACAGCTCCCGAAGACGCGGGATCCAGCCTCCCTGCCCTTTGATTTCTCCCCGCCTAGTGTCTAGGAGAGAGCTAAGCACGTTCCAGTTGGAGTCGGGTCTCTCTCGGAGCGCCCAGGCCGGTGCAGCTGCAAGCAGCAGCCTCTCTCCCGCCCTCTCTCCCTCCTCCTCGCCGGCTGCCACTTGCCTTGGGTGACAGCTCCCACCACACGTGGGCCCTCCTTTCCCGATTGGTGTCTTCGCTCACGATTATAGCTTGCCAGAGGGTCTTGTTTGTCGAGTTATTTTTTTGGGGTAGGGGCGGAGGGTGCGCCTCCAAACCGTGACAGAATTATTAAATTAGATTCTTCCTTCTTCTTCTCATCCAACTCTCCAAAGCAAGTGGCACTAGAAATTAAACTTAAATACTAGCTTCCCTGCAGAGTCTGCTCAGGAGTGAAGGGGGGAATGAATCATTTCAGAGAGTTGAAGGCAGAATAATGAACTAGTGTGGCTTTAAAGAAAAAGCAGCACATGAGGTCCAGGCAGTGGTAATTAGAAGAGTTCTGCTGCTCTTCTTTCATGCTGGAGTGATTTATTTAAATTATGTATGCAGAAAGCTATCTCTCTGGGGTTGCAGAAATGTCCCTCATCCCTCCTCTGAAGATCCAAACAGGTAGAAAGCGGTTGGCCGATGTGAAGATGCCATATGTTCTCATGTTTTTATCCACTGGAAATTGGTTTGGTTTTTTTTTTTTTTTTTTTTTCCCTTCTCTTCTTCCTTTTTCCTTCTTGCCTTTCTGTTATCCATAGGTAAAAATTCTTCTCAACACTGATTTTAGATCCAGGCCTTTTATGATAGGGAATCTGAAAATGTAATTTCAATGTTGACAAGTTGAAGCTTCTGTATTTAATACTTCTCTGCAATTTCATTTTCTACTCTCTTTTTGTTGGAAAGAGTTTAGATAAGGGGCCCCCCCCCCCAATTTTTTTAATGCAATTGGAGACCACAGTGCAGGATTATGGATGTTGGTACTTGGTGGGAATGTGTAAGGATTACCTACCCTGCCCCCCCTCCATTTGCCACTACTATTAATGGCTCGTGGAATACAGAAGGTGTGCAAGAAAGGCAAAACTTCAGAATGAAAATTTAATTGTCATTGTTTAAAAATGTTCTGGGGCGCCTGGGTGGCGCAGTCGGTTAAGCGTCCGACTTCAGCCAGGTCACGATCTTGCGGTCCGTGAGTTCGAGCCCCGCGTCAGGCTCTGGGCTGATGGCTCAGAGCCTGGAGCCTGTTTCCGATTCTGTGTCTCCCTCTCTCTCTGCCCCTCCCCCGTTCATGCTCTGTCTCTCTCTGTCCCAAAAATAAATAAATGTTGAAAAAAAAATTTAAAAAAAATAATAAAAATGTTCTAAAATACTTGGGCATTGAACAGTATGTATATAAATAGCCTACTTTGATCAAAATTTTCATTGTTCATCTGAAGATGTGCTGTTGTGTGCATTCATTAGTAGGTTGGAAGTGAAGTGTCTCCTTTCAGTTTTGAATCTTACAATTGTGTGGTGAGCTGCACTGGAGCAGTGTAAATTTCTGATTTAAGAGATAATCTTCTTACAATTGTTTACGTGGTGTTTTAGAAACTGCCACCTCGTAGAGGAAGTGCCTCCTGGTGCTAAAGGGACTGCCCCACCACCAAATCTAACTGCTTTCTGAGTAAATTTACCCCAGAGGCCTCTAATTGATTCGGACTTATCATTAGCACATGATGTCTTTATGAATAGGGTTTGCTATCAGGAAACTCAAGAAATTTCCTTAATTTGAGGAATGGAAAAGTGGTTAGAAAAAAGAAATAAACTGCCAATTGTACCTGTCTATGGGATGGTAGACTTCATAGGGAAAACCTAAGGAACTTGAAGTTTATTTTAAAAAAAGAAAAAAGCTTTGTGCTATAATTGCAGTAAAATTTGCAACACAAATATAAATCATTTATATATTGCTAAGATTCTCACTCTGCAAAGTTGTTTGATTACCTTGAAAATCACAGAATTAAAATATTTTGAGAGATCTAAAAATTCTTTCTCTTGCTGCTTTTCGGTAGTCATGTGTATTGGGTAAGTTCTCTGTAGCTGGCAGTATGGGCAAGGTGCATGCTTATTCCATTTGGCTGAGACTTTGAGAAATGTCACTTAATGATCAAAGTTATTTTTTTCAACAAGATAAGCCTAAACCTTAAAGCAACTAATGTTACAGATATAATTACTGAGAATCTATATAGCCAGAGAATGCAAAAAATTATAATTGTAGATATTGACTGACAAAAATCCTCTTTCTTCCTCCACTCATGATAAAGTTGAGACTCAGTTGGTTTTAAGCCTTTACTCTCTTAACTCCCAGTCTTGGGCCAAATCTGCCTGACGTTGGTGATTCTAAGGCCAAAATAGTTAATTCATTAGTAACACAGTTGTCATTATGATGCTAGGGGAATAATGATCTTGGTGTTGTGGGGCGCCATTGTGGTTAGTTCCAGGGTGTAGACAGTCCCACTAGATTAAGTTCATTTGTAAGTAGTCATTCCTCTGTTACAATTATCTGTTGCAAGCTGGTGAGTCCTGAATTAAGATTGGACATGTGACTATTAGGGAAACACACCCTGAGGATATATTTGGAAATTGTAGGGAGCTCAATAAAAGCTAGTTGAAGCCTCTGGATAGTGCTGGCAGCACTGTTTCACAGGTAGCGCAAGGCCATGTGATAGCTATTTTATTTTATTTTATTTTATTTTATTTTATTATTTATTTTATTTTATTTTATTTTATTTTATTTATTTTATTTTATTTTATTTTATTCTCTCTCTAATATATACAGATATATATGGATAAGGGTGAGGAGTAGGGGTAAGAAGGATTATTTAAGAGTATCAGGCAAACTAATTTAATTTTTCTAAAATCACAGTTGAAAATACTGCTTTGTTTATAGAGTTTGTTAAAAAGTTTACAAAAACCTTGATGACCCAACACATTCAGTTCTGCTCATAAATATAAGTTGGCCATGATCCTTTTTAGGGCTCCCTGTCCTAGAGAGCAGTTGGTCCTTTGCCCAGTGATTTGAGAAATTGGCATTTTAAAAGCTTTTCTATGGGAGAAAAGAGCCTGCCTCTCTCCAGATTCTGTCCAGTGGTTTGGCGCATGGAGGGACAGGATTTGGCTTGGGCTGCCCTGTGGTGGGGATTTGGCCTTGTGCATCCAAACCCATGTCCTGTTTTTAGTTATTTCCCACCTTGTGTTTCTCTCTGTAACAGGAGACTGAAAGAATGTTTGTAGCAAAACTAGATGTATCCCCATACACAAAAGTTTAGGGAAACCAAATGAAACATAATTAGTACAAAAGAAGAGTGTGTTAAATTATTTTGGGATAAATTTTTTAAAAATTTCCATTCTACTTAACTATAGTTTCTTTAGACTAGTGAATTTCAATTCCCGCCCCCTCCTCCCCCCACCAAAACTGCTGTTCAGTTTAAGAGAGTACATTTATATGGCAACCGAGTTAAAGCAGAGTTTTATAGGATCCTTTGCAATATATATTATTGCTTAGGAACCAAACAGATTTAGATAGTGAGATATAGGTATGTATAGAATACAAAGTATGTGTGTATAGAATGGAAACAAGTTTCATAAAACAATGTATATTCTTATTACCAACAATGTAGTCTAATATTTCCTATTCTATGCTATTTGATTTTATTCTATTTCATTAAAAAATATTGGCTGAATCCACATGATTTCACATCTCACTAATGGATTGTGACTCAGTGTGAAAATGCTGTTTTAGGCCATAAATCTGTGTATGCCAGTTTAAAACATGAGGAAGACTCCTTTTGAAAAATGCCCTGCAGACCAACTAGTAACACTGTGTGGTCTCCATTTGCACATCTCTATAGAGAAAAGTTCTGTCTTTGTCTGCAGGTCCTCATTGGGTTTTCCCTTCCAAATATTTTGGAAAAACTCTAATGTCTCCCCAAGATATGCTGGGTGCACTATACTTTGAAATAACTGTGGGTGGGGGGTGGGGGGTAGGGGCAGGAGGCTAGGCCAGGAACACAGTCACTGTATAGGGGAGGAATTCAAAGGCCTAAACACTTGTGTATTCCACTTGGTAACACTTAACCCTGGCCCTGGGTAATGGCCGGCTGATACTTCCTGTAAGGAAACATGGAAAGTATGCATTTTCTAACACAAGCATTCTAACCAGTGCTCCTGGCTGGTGAGGAACCAGATCCTCTCTTTCCCTTTCTCTCTCTTTGTTCGAGGCCCTTCCTGAGCCATTTTTAGCCAGTACTTCTCATACCCTTGGTTTTCCCCCCACAGTGTCCTTTAGGACCCCACAGCAGATCCAGAATATACTGCTGGTTACGGATCTCTTGCTACCCACACTGTGCTTAATGTCTTAAGCTCTTTTGGGGATCTGACTAGAAATTAAAAATATAACTGTTCAGTCCCTCTGTTGTTCTCTGTGCTTCCAATTCTTTTCTCATGCAGTTGACTCAGGAGCATGGTGAGAGGCGAGATTGCAAGTGGGAGAGTAGAAAGCTGGACTGCACATGCTTGAACACTGACTGTAAGCTCCCAGGAGGTAGTCTGTGGATTTAGCTGCCTCACTGTCATGTGCTCAGTGCCCAGCACAGTGCTCATTACTCAGCAGGTGCTCAACAAATGATTTTAGAGGGAGTGAGTGAATGATAATGAATTGGGCCAGGCACAGGGTACATGACCCTAGGGAAAGGGAAATCTGGTGGCTTGTTTATCTTGTCCCTAAAATTTGTGCAACCATAATCTCACTGTGTGCTGGTTTTCTTTCTTCACAGTGGGAGTCCTGATAACTGTCACCTCTGTAGCTTGTAGGTGTTGAAAATA